ATGAAGGACATAACAGAGGCAATAATTACAACTCCCTCCTTGCCATTAAAATTCAGCCAGGACATAGCAAATGGTGTTCAGGGAGAAAGAGACTCAAAAAGATCATGAGGAGTGTAATAAGAAACCCTCTTTAAGCTGTTTCTAGGACAAAACAGAGGTCTGGCTACATTTGCCATGCCCGGAGCATCCCAGCTGGATGGCAGCTCCCCACATCCCCACCCAGGCACACAGCTGAGTGGTTTGGTCAGCAGTTGAGTCCTGGTGTTCCTGTTAAATCGTTTTCCAGGAAAAGGACCTTTGCTGCACACTCTGCTGCTCTGGGGTGCCAGGCCCAGACACCTCAGCACTATCTGGTCCTGCTGCCTGCCCAAGGCTGGGCTGGGATTTGGGCTTGCACCATGCAGCCAGTGCAAGGAAGCAAACCAAGGGCCCTTTACACTCTGAGGAGAGGGTAGAAATGTGTCCTCGCTGCCCCCAGGTTTAGTTGAAACCCGTGCTGTGTACATATGCATGTTTGTGAGATGTAATGTGATGGAGGGCACACTGGGACTTTTTGGATCAAGCGTTTGTCAAGAGCTAGAAGCCAAAAAAAGACAAGAAAATAAAATAAAAAGGAAAAGAAGCCATGCCGGATGGACAGCAATGTTTCCATATTTACTTTGTTTACAGTGCTTTGTAAATAGGTTCCAGCGAGTCTGTCTTTAGATGGATGTTGTGTCAGCTGCCTTCCAGTTTATCTTTGTCATGTAGGTTTATTTACTGTAACTACTTATGCAAGTTCAACTTTTCTAACATGTTTTTATTTTGAACAGTTTTTTAATTGACATTTTCAACAAATAAAGAAGGATAAAAGTCGCTTCTTAGCCCTCAGTGCTGCTTCCTTTGTTTCCACCGGGAAAGCAAAGCCAGCCTTGCTCTGGGCATCACTGGTTTGCTCAAAATGCCCATGGCTGCATCATCCTGCCTCTCATTTACTGGGTGCTGGTGGGGATACAGGAGCAAAGGGTGATGCTGGCACTTGGGCTGTTATTCCCACCATCAGCCAGACCTGCAGCAGGGAAAGGTTCCTGCTTCCAGGGGAAGAGGATACACTTCCATCCCTCAGGCCCCGCATGCACTCTGCTCACAAGAATGCTTTATGGAGAACAGGCTGCTCTCTGTTGCACCAGCCAGTTGCTGTAGATAAGTGACTTCCTGCCTGTTTGAGATGATTTTTTTTTTTTTTTTAGTTTAGTGTGTTTTTTTCTGGAGATTAGGTGTGGTGACAGGATTTCCTTTGGTCTACCACTTGGACAAGACTCTCTTGCACACAAAGAGTTTTTTTAACTCTTTGGTAGAGACATGCCACACTGTCAGCCTGAGCCAAAGCCCGAGGATTGAGAACAGGAGGATTGGACTCTCCTCTCCCTCCCCAAACAGCACTCGGAGCGGAAAAAAGAACATGGAAAAAAAGAAATACTGGCCTTGGGTGCATCATGGAAAAACAGTCAAGTCCAAGCCTGACAGAGGGCAGGTTTAGATGGGATATTAGGAAGAAATTCTTTACTGTGAGGGTGGTGAGGCACAGGTTGCCCAGAGAAGCTGTGGATGTCCCATCCCTGGAAGTGCTCAAGACCAGGTTGGATGAAGCTTGGAGTAACATGGTGTAGTGAAAGGTGTCCCTGCCCATGCAAGGGGGTTGGAAGTAGATGATCCTTAAGATCCTTCACCTCAAACCATTGTAGGATTCTGCAAGACAGTCCACTTGAACCCAAGTGGCACTATGGAGAATTGTTGCAGAGGCAGAGCAGGGCCACATCCAGACCCAAGAGCACTGGGCAGCCATCCTCCAGTTCCTGCTGCCTGGCAGCTCTGAGCTCAGCTCAGTGGCCCCAGTTGGAGAGATCCTGCTTGGAAACTGACATCCAAATCTTTTTTGAAGAAAGAAAACCCAAAATCTCACTTCCTGTACAAAACTAAATATATGTATATGTATTTCCCAGCAATTTCAGTGTGTCTTAAACCATGCCAGCACCTTTTTCAGCAGATGACCGTGCTGCTGCTTACTCCTGCCACTGGTCATCTATGACCCCCTGTGCCAGTCCTGCTGATGTATCCCACATAATCATCATCCTCTCGTCCCCTTCTTTACTCAGAGAGAAGAACAAAAACCAGTTTTGAAATCGTAAAATCCACAGCCCAAGGACCAACATAGAGGCCCGACGTCAAGGGAAAAATCAGTGTACTGACAACCTTCAAACTTTCCATGGGGAGAGGAAAACTGTGCCTGCTACAGCACCAGGCAGGGCAGTGGAGGAGAGCAAACCACCCGGGAGAAGGGCACAGCTGGATGGCAGATATCGAATCTCCTCCCCTCCCACACACTACCTCACATCTGAATCCCACAGGCTATTTTTGGCAAGCAAAGAAACAAAAGAGGCAAGAAACAAAAGCCCTGAGAAAAGCAGCGGCATGGGCAGGGGCCAGGGTCAGGCAGGCAGCCTGCGGGCAGGGGAGGTGGCAGTTGGCATCTGCTGCCCTTGCTGCAGAATTTATGGACTTGTTTTATGCCTGTAACCCCAGCAGGTGCCCCTGGCCACTGAGTCTGGGGGCTGCAGGGGCCCCAAGGCTGTGCACTGATCACAGTTTTCCCCAGCTCGTAACGAACGGTTTTTCCGCTCCTGAAGGTTTTTGGCCGCACACACGCTCCTCGTGGCTCTCCCCATCTGCTCACTCCCAGCTTTTTCCCTATCTCAGACCATGCCAGTTTGCACCGTCTTTGGTTTCTCCTGTGGCTCCCACCCACACTGCCACCGTGACCAAGCAACTCCACCTCCCCTGTGGAGGTTTGGGGCTCTCAAGCCATGCCAGCGCTGCCTGGCTGTGTTTCAGCAGCAGCAGGGATGTGGTCGGACCCGTGTCACCACAGGAGGCCGTGGGAGGCAGCAGCTGCCCAGCTCCACACACAGCAGCCACAGGATCCCAGCTTGTGCAGCATCCATCCTCTGCTCTGAAGCGGAGACATCTGTGCAGGCTCCATGACCTTAGGACAGGCAGGAATAGTCCTCTTCCAGTCAGGTGTCCTAAATCCCCTTAAACTCCTCCCCACCTCTCTGCTCCACAGCTGTGCTGGGTGCTCCACCTCCAGTGCCCTGCTGGCTTCCCAGGGCAGGGGCTCCCTGCTTCCTCCTCCAGCCAAAATGTCCCCAGTGGTGCCTGGCCCTGGCACCCCACATGCCCCAAGGAGCATGGTGGGATGGCTGCCCCTGGAGGCTTTTGGGACTGGCTGTCCCCAGTGTGCCCCCTCAGTGCCACCACACCGCATTCTTGGTCCCCAGACTCCAAGCAGGACCCCAGGAAATCCCAGCCTGGGACTGGGAAGGCTGAGCAGCGCTTGAAACATTCAAAGCCACCTATCTCTTAATTCATAAATTGTATTAGCTGGGTGATCAGTGGACGAAACCCAATACTGGGGAAGGGGAAACCGTGAACATTGAAATATGCTGCAACATAGTCCCCTGGCACGCAGTCTCTCCCTGGTTGCAAATATAAGACCATTTTAGTTAAATAAATATTCCTTATACATGTTGTCAGACAAGAGTCTGACATCAGGTCCATTCCCTGATGAAGTTAGGCAGTTTTAGAGAACAGCCAAAAAATACATATTAAATTATAGTGAATCCAGACTGTCTCTGAGCACTGTTGATTTCGGGAGGGGTCTGTGCTGGGCACTCAGCACTGCAATGGGCTGTGCAAAGACTGCCCTGTCCATCCCATCAGTGGTGGCACTCAGGCACCGTATGAGGACTAGACCTGCAGCCTCCAGCCAAGCAAAGCCTAAGGACTGCCAAAATCTGGAAGCTCTTCCTGTTGGTTTCCAGGACTATCTCCAAATTTTGTGACTCTGACAAGTGCCACCAGTATAACAAAATGCCGCCTGTGTCATCTTCAAACACTCTTTAAAAGTGCTGCATCAGCGTCCCTGTGCCCTGATCACCTTGCCTGCATGCCAAGCTGCAGAATAGGGTTGGGAAGACCCCAGTGTGCAGTGTTCACCAGGTACCCCAACCCCTGCCAAAGACAGGGTCCTGTTCTCCTGGAGCTCAGGAAAAGTGCCACTGTTGGCACATCCTCAGTGAGGACAGCCAAAGGAAGCTCTGCACATGCCCCTTGGAGGGCTTGGTCCTGCCACCTCTGTGCTTTTCTGGTCCTCCTCTTAGGGTAGTAGGGGGTCTCAGGAGAAGATGCAGGTCCAGTTTTGAGGTGGTGCCCAATGCCCCTTCCACAGAGGAGTGAAACAGTCCACAGGCAGAGAGTTTTCTACCTGCAGAGGCAGGAGGAAGGACACTCTGGTGAGCAGATTCAGGTCACTAAGAGCAGAGCACCACTGGTGCCTTACTCTCACTCTGCCTTGAAACCAGCAGTCCCACCTCAGCCACCAATCACTCCTCTGATGTGGAGCAATTGTCACCAAGTATGAACCCGGTCAAGGCAGTGACACACTGAGAAGACTGGTTGAGTTTCACAGATAGGCATGGATGGAAAAAAGGGGGATCTCAAAATACAGCAGACAGGGTGGCAACGATGCATCACCAGCAGCTAGAACATAAGGACAGCGCTGGGCTGACTGATTCCTTTAGAGGAGACGTTCCTAAGCCTTTTTATGTTTTTCCATTGATGTTTGGTAAGCAGATTTGTAGGGGAGATACGTACAAACACAGCTAGGCTGACGTGCCCCAAGCCATCCTACAGTTGCTAGGAAAGAAACATTGATGGTAGTTTGCTAAACAAAGCTCTTGTGACATAACGGGGACAGTGACCCTGCCAGGAATGTGGGGTGTGTGGACCCAGACACACAGCACCAGCGTGTACCAAATCATTGGCAGTGGCAGAAGAAAGCTAAGAGCAAATAACAACAGCTTCAAACTTTGTTCCATTTGTGTTCTCAGGGCCCCCTGGCCCTCATTAATAAATAACAAAATATACAAATTAAGAAACAAGAAAAACAAAGAGGCAGAGGAACATAAATAAGGGAAACAGGGAAAGGCACGTTGCTCAACAAAATTATGCTGGAACCCCAGCTCAGGATGGCCCCTCCGTCACTACAGCTTGAAGATGCCAAAGTAGTTGTTGCCATGGCTGACGATCAGTTTTGTAGAGTCTGTCACGTTGACAAAGACCATGTCATCTTCCCGGAGCTTGAAGACACCTCCCACCCGGATGGACCGGAGTTCACAGTCCTTCCCTGTGCCCTGTGTCTGTAGTCCCTTCAGCAAGAGCCGGTCCTCCTCCTTGGGGAGATGCAAGTAAACATAGAGGGTGAAGGGTGCTGAAGATGCTTCCTTGGTGCAGAAGCTGACTTGGGAGTAGATGTAGTAGAGCCCTGCTTCCTTCACCTTCAGTTTCCCCTTCTGGTTGGATATCAAGATGTTTGTGGGGCCATACATGGTCTCCTGCAACTGTAGCCCTGTAGAGAGAGCACGGCAGGTGAGTTGGGTGAAGGAGATATCCAGTTTTTGGGGGGACCCCCACAGACATCTGGCCTCACAGCCCCTGTCTGTCTGTGGGGTGTAGGGGTGGGTCCTTCCCACCCCAGGACACCAACCCCAGCCCATGGGAGCAGGTCCCTTTCTCCTTGCCCTTTCCCCAAGGCCAGGGCAAGTTCAACACACGTTGCTGGTCACTGGCCTTGACACCCTTGAATCAATATGCAAGGGGAGGAGCATTTTGCTTCCTTCATCTGGCCAAGTGGAAATGCTTAGGGAGGAGGACTGCACATGGTTACCACCACAGCCCAAACACACTCCTGTGTCCACTCCTGTAGGGTTGCTATCTCCATGGATTTCAGTGTTACAACCTTGAAGCCCTCAGAGCATTTCCAAATCACACTGCAACTCCATTATTCAGAACCTGCCATCCCAGGGCACACAGCCTTTCCTCCCAAGTCCCTCCTCCACCTGGCCTCTGGAGATGGTAAGACTTTACCAAGGAAGCACAAAACTAAACACCCCACAGTTCTGAACCCTGCCTGGGTGCAGAGCTGGGAGGGTTCAGCGAGTGCTGCTTCCCACCACTGGGACCACAGCCCACACTGACCAGCTGCTGCCATGGCTTTTGGGACAGTACTGGTGTCATCATGGTACCTCACAGAGTTGATGCAAGAGCAGCCAGGATGAGCAACCTGGCTCCAAGGGAAATAATGGGTTCAACTGCCCCATCCCAGAGTCCCAGTCCCTGTGGCAGGGTGGCACGGGCGATCCTGGGAGAGCCACGCAGCCCATAGTCCAAGACTGAGCATCCCACAGGAACATTTGCCCACATGGAGCTGAGCACCAGGCAGCTGCTGCTCTCTGGGCCATTTCAACCTGCTTTATGGGCTCAGCAACTGCTTGAGCAAGGAGTTTTAAAATGCAGCAAGTTTCTCACTTCTTTGATCTTATCTAACATTAAGTTTTCCACAGATAGACTGTGCTCTGGGTAAAATGCTGCGTCAGAGATGGAAAGAGCGGTTGCTGATTGCTGTCAGTTACTCCATAATTAAATCAGAAGTGCTCAGATTGTGAAATCCTTGCCAGATGGAGAGACTGGCCTTGCAAGCTCACACTCTGGTAATCCCTGCTCTTGAGGGATGTCCCTTAGCTAAGGCTATGCTGGAGAGCCCCCATGGTCAATACAGAGGGACACACAAATGCAGATGGACTCAGGTAGATCTCTCAAACCTAGCATGGCCATGGCTGCAAATAAGTACAGCTTGCCTAAATCAGTTTGGATCTATCTGTGTTGTGATTGTAGTGTCCTCAGCCAGCCCACATTGCTACCAAGACCACTACGGGTGAGAAGAGGATTAAATCAGCAGATACAATATGCCAGCAGAGCCCTCCTGCAGCAGCCACCCCAACTAGGTGTGGCCAGGAGAGCAAAAGACCTCAATCTGAAGAACAAAAAAAAAGTGGAAGGTTTTTTTCCTTAAATATGATGAGAAAAATTTTTCCACTTGCAAAGATTAATCTATTGTGGTGCATTTCTAGGAAGGCACATACATACAGCTACTAAGGACAGTCAGCATGGGATGTGTGAACCCCATGTGGTACAGGAGCATGTGGTGACATGCACTGGGAGGTTTTCTATGCTTTGGGGACACACTTTCATGCTGGAGTTGCTTTGTCCCTTGTCCCTACCTCTAGAGAGCAATGGGGCAGCATTGGGGATGCACCCTGACATGTCCCACTGGCTCCCTGGCCAAGGTCAGACGGAGTGGGTCTGTCTTACCTGAGGCTGTATTGTTGCTCCTCTGAACTGCCAGGTGGACTGCAATTGGCTGCCTCTTCTCTGCTGCAATTCCAAAAGGCCAGTGTTATTGATGCCGTGGCACCCCCTCCCTGCCCCCCGGGCAGCACAGCTCCTCCACAGGGACTGCAGCACCTCCCACTATCAGGTTTTTTTCTCTACAGGCCAATTCCAGCTCAGAGACACTGTCTCCAGATTCCAACTCCAGCAGAGCCTCTGAGGCACAAAGCCCATGGAGGAGACAGTGCCCCCTTTCCCACTGCTGGGACAGGACCTGGGTGTGCCCACACCTCACCTGCCACCGACGTCTCATTCTTGTGTGTCAAATGGGAGTGTTCATGGTGCTCATGACCTGCAATGCAAAAAGACCATGGATTTAGTTTTGGGTTCAATTTCATCGACTTCAGCCATTGTGTCACCCAGAACCGCCTGCCCTGGTGAGACATCCATGCTCAGTGCCCTCCTCCACCAGCCCCAGGCTGTGCACAGTCCTACCCCCATGGGGATGCATCAAACCCTGCTCTGTCCCCTGCCTCCATGTCATACCCTGAGCTGCTGCAGGGTGAAGGAAATCCCTTTCCAGACCAAGCTATGGGTGCACTGGTGACACCAAGAAACTCACCTCTCTGCTTTTCAAATTTGGGCTGCTCCTTGATGGCTCCATCCTGTAACAACAGCAAAAACATATATATTTTTTGAAGATGTACAAATAAATGATTCTGAAAGCTTCTGTGTGGTCACTGCTCAAGTTGCTGCTGTTTGGCCCTGACACCTCCTAGCAGAGGTGTTAAAAATGACAGAGCTCCTCCAGTACCTCCCCTTGCATCACTGTTTGCAGCAGGGGGTTTGCTTATGATCTTAGTTTTCATGCAACTAAAATTATGTGAAGGGAAAGTCTATTTGCAAAAAAGAGAAAGAAGAAAAACAAACATCTCCTTTTCATTTAAAAACATGTCAGAGAGCCATGCTTTAAGCGATGCCAGGCACATCCCTGCCCCTACAGCAGGGGTTTTCAGGGCTGCTGAGCAGGGCCCACCTCAGACACAATTTTTGGTAGTCAGTCGGGCACTGACGCAAACCTGAAGGTTTAGCTCAGGTACTTGTTGTCATCAGGCAGTGACAATGAGAAAGAACTGTTCCTTTCCTGCCTGTTTTGTCCAGTACAGCCACTCCTAAACAGCGACCCCTTCTTTATTCCCAGAGCAGCACGTACCTTGTACTGGACATTCCGGAAACTCTTTAAAATCTTTTCACAGTCCAGTAATGTCGACTTCTGACCTTCTGCTGTCTGACATTTCTGTACTTTCTTCAGGAAGATGTAATCTTCATTTAAGCTCAATACCTCTTCCATCTGCCAACAGGAGAGAGGAGAGAAGTGAATGGAATGTTAGTGGGAAACCTGCAACAACTGCATGCAGAGCTCAGGGTCAGATGTTCAGCATTGGGATGAGCTGGGCAGACAAACTGTGGGTACCAAGAACTCCCACCAGCCACCCAACACAGCACTGCACCTCCTCTGGGAATTGCACCCACAGAGCTCACGCTGATCTGCAATGCTGAGTGAGAGGAGGATTGCTCAGGATCTATTTTTCTATCACCTTCATAATGAATCTAAATGTCTCTCTCTGCCTTTTCCAGAGGGTGCAGAAATCTCAGGAGGTGGCCCAGGGACTCAGGGTTTGCGGCTGCTTCCCCAGTGGCCCCAGCGGGCAGCTGGGCTGCTTGCTCAGCCCCTTGTTTCCCTGCCCACACGGGGGGCTTGACATTTTTTACACTCACTTATTGATTAACAGAGCTGCCAAGAAAACAAAACGACATGTGGGTTGGGACTGAATTGTGCCAAGAGCTTCAGATTGAAAAAAAATCAGAAAGCCAATAAATTAATAAATAAATGCACTAAAATACTGATTTGTGAAATTATACCTGTTTTCTTTTTTGTTGTTGTTGTTGTTTTCTTTTTTTTTAAACTTAGCAGTCAGCTAAATGGCAAAGAGAAAGTGCAGCTGGACATGAAGACACACGGTCAGGCAGAGCGCGCAGCACAAGCAGCACTGGGGTGTGGAGGGTTGGGTTTGAAGTCCTGCCACAAGCTGTGAAGGTAGCTGAAATCCTCCTGCCACCCATGACTGCATTTCAGCTGCCTCTAATCCTCTGTGGTGGCCCTGTGCAGTCACACTGTGCTCTGCTGGAGACCCTCTACTCACTCCTTTGCCCCAGGCTGCAAACTCTGTGCAGCAAAGTTCCCTTCCACCCCCCTGACCTTTCAGACCCTCTAGCTCAGGATTGCTCTCCATCCTTGATGATCAGAAATCACCCACCTAAATTTCAATTTAAGTTGATACAATACATTTAAAAATCAGTAATGACGACCTTATTGATGCACCTGGCAAGAAAAACTTGATCTGGGTTTTAGGCACATATTTCTTTATCTGGCAGTCTTTTCTGGTTTGGAGGAAAGTAGCTTTAGATCGGTGATTTTAAGCATCATGCACTGTGGTTGCAATCATGGCAACCTTAAAATAGTTTTTCAGACTCTAACTTTTTGGTAAATATTGTCCCAAATATGGGACATGATCACCAATACTGTAGCTCTTCAAAAAATGACAAAGTACTAAGGTCCAGTCTTCTCTTCCCTGAATTGAAAGACAGCATCTGAAGTGAGACCTTGGTAAAATTCATACATGAAACTCAAAAAAAATTTTCATTTCTGGACCTTTCCTCTTCACAATTAGTGTCACAGTGCATGCCCAGTGCTACAAAACCAGACAAACCACCACCAAGCCTAAAATAGCCACTTGCACGCCTAAACCACACTCTCCTGTCCCTGAACTGGCTGTGGGCTGCCAGTTTTGCTCTTAACGGCTCTTCTTGAGTGATCCATTCTGTTTTTGTTAACGAAGGGAAGAGATCTCTTTCCCAGTGTACACCTTCGTGTCAAACTAAAGCAGAAAGGAGAACACAGGTGTGATAAATGCTACTGCTGCATCCCTTCGGTGGTCAGCATCGTCTTCTACCCCGTGTTCATCCTTCTGGTGAGCAGCCTCACCACAGCTGAAGTCAAACCGTGCCAGCAATCCAGCAGAGACAGGCAAGCCTCTTTCTCCACTTACCTTATCCATCTTCATGTGAAGATATAAACAGAAGAGTACGGTGCCGATCATCTGTGCGACAATAAATACGGTGAGGAAGACCATGAACATCTTCATGGTGCCGGGCGAGGTGCCGCTGATGGGTCGGGGTGTCTCGGGGCTGTAGGGTTCATTCATCCTCCTTGCACTTGGCTGGGGCTCCTTCAAATGAGCTGCTTGCAAGTAGCATGAGAACTGTTGTGCGAGCGCCCGCTGCTCAAGGGATACAGGTTGCAGCAACCTACACTTCCTGGAAAAACCTCTTCGTAGTGGGTAGGTTTGTTCACTGCTGTCTCCCACAACAACAACAAAAAAGGTTGCTTAGACTTTCTTCTCTCTGTTGCACTTCCATGCCTTTTTCCTACTGTTCTACAAGAAACAGAGACGGGTTCTTATTCTGTATATTCATACTTGCCCTTGAATCACTCCAAACTATTCGCTGGTGGTTTTTATTCCTGTTGGTGATGAAAGTTTTGTGGCAAGTTTTCTTCAAAGAAATGAAGCCTATGAATACAGGTAGAGAGCTGCTGAGCAGCACTGTGGGCTGCCAGAGGCTAGGAAGCACTCAGAAAGTTGGTTGTTTCTCAAAAGGGGAAGAAAGGCTTTTTGCTGTTCATTTCCTTCAAGAGAAGGATGATTTTTGGCAGTGAAGATGCTTGGCTGAGGCAGTTGGGTTGTGCTGGTGTCTGCCTTCCCTTGTGCTCCCCAGGGGTGAAGTCTCTGCCTGGGGAGGCTGGATGATCTGGGAGAAGAGGTCATCTCTGTGGGTACCCTAGTGACCCTAGTGTGGGCACAGCTTTCATGCTCCTCCACAGACAGCGGGACTTTGAAGCCCAAAGTTTGAACCCCCCTCTCCAAATCAATCTGGAGAGACAAGTTTTAAGTAGCTTTCTTGGTATCTTTGGGAGGTGCTCACCTTGCATCCAAAGGCACCAGCCATTACAGACCCTGCCTCTACTTATCCATGTTGCCTGTATCTATATATGGGGGCATGAAAAGTGCTGCTGGAGATGACAGGCGCTCCTGTCAGCTGCTGACCTGCCAGTGTCACCACCAACTTTGGGCAATGCTTGTCACCTCTGTGCCCTGACCCCTCTCAGACTGGCAGCAGTGAGGTGAGGTCCTGCCCCCAAACTTTTCAGGCATCCAACATTCTTGTGTACATGTAACTAAAATAATTCAGGGTAAATACAGAAGTGTCCTCACTGCTTTCAACATGGGACAGACCTCTTTTTCTCCATATAAAGAGAATAAATCTGGTGGGGCTGTTGGGGTGCAGAGGAGGAGGGCTGAGAGGCTGTACTGTGAGGAGACTTGGGGTGCTGATTTGAAGGCATCATCAAGCCACTGTGTAGAGCTGTTTTGAAAGTGTAGAAGAGATGCTGGAGGCAATGCTCTTATCAGATGTGCACACAGCAAATAAAGGGTTGGATCCTGTGAGGTAGTGGGTGCTGAGCAGGTGCTGCTCACCAGCAGTCGCTGGAGAGGAGGGCACACAGTGCCTTTCAGACCTGCTCAGAGAGCTGCAGGATTGAATCCAGCATTGCTTTTGCACTCTGCCCTCTCTCCTGCAGCCTGCCCTGTGTGGTTAGGGCACTGCGAAACGCAAATGCAAAACCTGGTGACAGAGCACAAACATCTCTGCAACTGAATCAGTTTGACTTTGGCAGGTCACCATCCTCCTAAATGTAACATCCAAATCACAAGAGTGGGATGGCTCCAGGGTCTTTGTGGGCAGCAACTGAGAAACTGGGCAGAGGACAGCCCAGGGCTGAGATCCTGGCTGGTGCGTCACTGTGCCAGGAGTGTCACACCTCTGGAATGAGGGGAGCTTTGAGATGGGGCTGCCAGCTCTGAGGTCAGCCCCCCAGTGTCACTTCTGCCTTCTAGAGGGCAGAGTGGCTTCTGGAGTCCTTGCCCTGGGGACCCCTACCCTGAGGGTTGCCCACACACGCTGACTGTCCAAGTGATGCCTTGCTGTTCAGCTCAGCAGGGCTTCCCATCCCCCTTCCCCCCAAAACATCCTCCTGGCAGGAGCAAGGTGACCCAAACAGTGCTGGGGATGCACTGCTGCCAAACAGGGTCTCCTCAGCATTGCCAGGCTTTGGGTCTGGTTCCTTGGGCTTGCAGCCCTGCTGCAAAGGACCAAGCCCACACACAGCCTGGGACCACTGCCAAGTGCCTGCTTTTATTCCTTTTTGTCTTAAAATTGGCATCATCTTTGGAAAGACCAGCCCTGGCCTCCTCACAGGAGGTTGATCTGACATCAAGATCCTGCACACCACCCCTGCCATGGCAAGCTTGCCACGGGCAGAAAGACACTTGGATATTCCCAAGAACAACCCAGACAGTTGAGGGCCATGAGGCTGTGATGGGGAGAAGCACCCGCTCCTCAAAGTCCTCACCCCGTGCCTTAGCCCCATCACACTCACCAGCATTTTCCAGGGCTCTTCAGAGTTTCCTCTGAATTTAACACATTTGGGGGAAGTTGCTACATGAGAAACAAAATGACATGAGAATTCATCACTTAATACTGTTCGTGAAAGTGCTGGGACAGAGGCAGCAGATAACATGTGAAACCACAGCACTGAGTGTTGCAGAGAGGTTTTGCACAGCTATTCCTCAGCCCTGGCTGTCCCCAGCAGACAAAAACCTCTTCAAAGCCATTTCTGGAGAGCCACCTGTCACTGCTTCACCGAAAGGAGAAGAACCTGTAGGTAATGCCGGAAAGCCCAAGCACGTCACTGGCCCCGCTGCAGGCACCTTGCTGGGGAGGCTGGAGCCGGCAGCATCCTCCGAGGGGCTGATGGGCTCGGTGAGGAGGATGGGGAGAGACTCTAGTTTTGGGTACCCAGCACAAAACATCACCAGAGGGTTGGCCAGCTTGTGCTGCAAACCAGGAAACTGAGTCTCTAATCACCGGCACCCTGATGGGAGAGAGCAGGTGGAAAATGTGACAGTGGGGATCGCGGCAGAGGTTCGTTAGAGGCAGCTCCTCTTCAGGAAGCCATTGCTCCATTTCGGTGATCCAGCCCCTTGCTGCCCTGGCTGGCGGGGAGCAGGCCCTCAGGAGCCACCCACCCTGCACCTTTTGGTCCTTCAAGCCGGACTACTGTGACTGCTGTGCCAGTGCCAGAGCGACCAGGGGGTGCCAACGAAGCTCTGTGGGAGGCAGAGCCACAGCGGGCTGTTCTGTCACTGTTTCTGTTCAGAACCAGGCAAGCCCAGGAGGAAAAAGCTGTTGCAGGGTGTGCAGGGGTGTTGGGCCTTGGAGACATGCTCTGTTGCCATCTCACTTCCTCACATGGATAGTAGGGATTGGGGGAAAGACTCAAAATCCTCGAAGCCCACGCTACCTCAATGCCAGGGCCAGGCAGCATCACGGTTGCACATCCCTGACTGTTTATCTGCTGTAGGAACATGGGGAAGCATATCAGAGGGGGAACACAGCTTTGGAGAAAGAGGGGCATGGTCCAGGGGAACAATGAGTAATGGAGAGAGGACCCATCACCAGAAGGCAGAGTCTGCCTGCATGGGGTAATCCCAGGGAAGATGAAGTCACACCTTCACTGTGGTGACAAGTCTGCCACTCAGAAACCAACTGGGTTTTCTTTTCCCACCCCAAACCCTCCGAACACAAGCATGCCCATCTGCTCCTGAACCCAGACTGGCACAGTTCCTCCAGTCAGTTAATCCTTGGGTGCGACAATGGGAAAATGTGATCCATCGTTTGCATTCCTACTGACCTAGTTGTGGTATTTCCGCTGATCAGCAAATTGTCTCCACTTGTACTCAGCGCTCTGAGTTTTGTTTACTGAGAAAATATCCGGTTGTCTGCCCCTGTGATCTGTCAAAGGCTGGGAGCATCTCTGAAGGCAGCAAGGTGAAAGCTGATAAGAGAGTGATTTTTTTCTTTTGGTGTGCCTGCTGCGGTTTTGTGACTAGTTTTTTAAAATGTGCTGCTTGCCCCACACACTCTTTACAATTAACAAAATCTGGGTGGTGTGCAGTGCTAAGAACAATACATTGAAAAAGAAGATTTTATTCTGAGTCACAAAAGGAGTTTACCTGCAATGCTGTGGGAGGGATGCAGAAGGGAATCTATGAGAGAAAACTAAATAAAGTCACTTCAGCACAGGACCATGGGCAAAAGGGAAAGTTGAGCTTTTCCATCATTTGCTTTTTCACTTTAGATTTTTCACTCTCCTGTATCCTCTGAGCTCTCATGTCTTCAGGAGACGTGTCATCAGAGAGGAAGGGGGAACAGACAGAGCCAGAACACCACAGAAAACATCACCAGCATCCGGAGAAGGAAAGGTTGCGCTGCAGTTTCCGTTCATTTTCTACCTTGGTATGAATAGAAGAAAAGTTCTTGGAGTCCAGAGCAGCAAGAAGCAGCCTCAGAGAGAGACAAACGTATCAACACCTGTGACAGTTACGTTTCTGTGGGAGAACAGAGCAGAAGATGGTGGTTGTAGCCACTAAGATGGCAAGGGCAGGCTGCAGCCCCATCGCTCGCCAGGGCCCTCAGCCTTGGAGACACCCACGTGCGGGCACACCCTGAGCCAGCCCTTCCCTGGGAGATTGAGGTGGCTGGAGAGCGGGGAACAGCAAAAACACAAGTCCCAGTGACCCCACAGAGGATGGAGGGCCTCGAAGGGCACGTGGCTTTCGTGCCACATCTGGGTGGCAGTGCCAGCCTTGCTGTGCTGAGCCGCAGAGAGCACCCGGCCTCCAAACTGCTGATGCTGAGCCTTACCGGAGCTGCGAAACCACAAATGGCACTAGAAACTTCTTGCTGTGAAGGTTGCACCTACTTCTCCCGACTTCCTAAAAATAGACGTCGGTGTGGAGGCCCCCACGGCCCCGGCCCTGCCAAACAAGCCCCTGCTGCCTGAGTCACGGCGGAAGGGAGCAGAGCATCCCGAGCGTCCCCCCGCACTCGGCCAACAGCCGAAAGCTGCTTTCCCCGGCACGGGGAGCGGGGGCCTGCGCCCATCAAAGCCTCAGAGAAACGCCCCGGCGAGGCTCTGCCTTTTCATGTTGCGAAAGGAGAGGGTAGGAGTGGGGAGAAGCAAAACCCGCGGGAGGCTGCAGGGCTGCCGGTGCCAGCGGCCGCCTCCCACGGCGCGCCGCGATGGGTGGGTGGGGAGGGTCCCAGCATCGACTTTGCATCGCCCCTTCCTCCCCGC